TCTATACCCTGTATCTCCGAAACTAAGCATGTTAGGACATTTATACGAACTTTTTTACATATTTTTATCTGCAAAATATGCTGCCAAAGATATAAGTATACTAAACTATATATTTTCTAATATATTCTTAATTCTCTTAATTCATTTTTAAATCCACTGTATATCGAAAACGGTAAGTGCAAAGTATACTAAACTATATATTTTTGAAATTAGCTAAAATATGTCTACCGGACCATGCTAAAATATGTGGGGGTTTCCATTTAAAAAAAATCAAGATGGCGTCGTATCTGTCAAAATTGGCGATTTAAAAAATTTTAATGTAGAAAATCGGCATCCTCGCGAAAAATTACATTAAAATATCTCTTTACTATCTTAAAATAGAGAAGAGGAAAATTTTAAATTGGGTGAGACACTTAAAATGATTCTGGAACAATTCATTTTTAAATCCACTGTATATCGAAAACGGTAAGTGCAAAGTATACTAAACTATATATTTTTGAAATTAGCTAAAATATGTCTACCGGACCATGCTAAAATATGTGGGGATTTCCATTTAAAAAAAATCAAGATGGCGTCGTATCTGTCAAAATTGACGTTTTAAAAAATTTTGGTGTAGAGAATCGGCATCCTCGCGAAAAGTTACATTAGGAAATCTTTCTACTATCTTTAAATGCCAAACAGGAAAATTATAAATCGAGTGAGACACTTAAAATGATGTCCCTGTACATGTTAGTAATGTATGGGAATCGCCTTCTTTGATTTTAAAGAACATAACATACGTAAAAATTAAAAACAAATTAAAAATAATCATACATAAAGTTTGAAGCTTTTAGGTTGCAGATTTCGACCTCCTTGATGAGATAAAGGCAATTTTATTAATTTGGCTTGATCCAAGTCTAATAGCATTCTTTAAAAAAAATTAATATCATTAACTTGCGAAAGTTTTAAATAAGTACTCATTGATTGCTCATCAAAAAATTGGCGCCGGGAGGCATGTATAGCCGCCCATACTAAAATATGTTAATAAAAAGTTGTTAGGCAGTTCTTTTAGTTTCAAAGTAAAGGAATTTTTCCAATTTTTTTATCACAAAAACTGCGACTTTGACTGATTTTGATGTTATTACAAATTTTGCTGCAAATATTATTCCTAATCTTAAATTGAAAACCGCGTTTCGCTAGCTACTATAATTTTGGAGTTACGATTTTTTAAAATTTTTATTCCCCTCCCATACCCCCTTACCAACCCCCCACCCCCGCCAAAAACTAATGGCCAGATTCTCGGGTGCCACAGTATTTTTGTGCCAAATTTGGTTAAAATCGGTTCAGCGGTTTTTGAGTTATCGTGTTACAGACAGACGTGCAGACAGATAGACAGACAGACAGACACTACTGTAGGTTTGACTAATAGTAAGAATATCTAATAGCAATAATGTTTAATAATAAATTAGGTAAAATATATAATTTATTAATTTTATTTTTATTTTAATTTTATTAATTATTGTGATTAATAAAATTGCGTTTATCTCATCAAGGAGGCCGAATTCGATAAAATATCAAGAGATAACTTTTAATTGACATAAAACGGCCCCCACAACTGATATCAAAAGAAAAAAGTCAGTGGCGCACATGTTTTTTTTTTGAAAAATAATCCAGTGATAACCCATATGCTGTGATGAATTTATCGACACTTTTTTAGCGTTAAAATATTTAGCACTTAAAGTAACCTTTACCCCCAAAATTCCATTCGAATCGCTAAAAGTACTTGAAAGAAAATTATAATAAATCGAAAGATTATTAAGATTTAACACCCTGTAGCTACGAAACAAAGCAGAATCGGACCTATATTAATATGAAAAATAAATCCTATTTTTAGAGATGGCTCAGGTTTTTTTACCCTGTATAATATTTAATTCTAATAAATTAATTATCTCTAAGAAAAATGTATCCTAAAAACTATAAAAACTACGAATCAAATAAAATAACGTAAGCAATACAACAAATTGATTTTTTAACTGACCCATTATATAAATGCTCTCAAACAAAATCTTTTTAGTTATTCATGGGAGTGGTCAAACACAACACAGCTTTATAATTCCATAATATTAGCCAACATTAATGTTTTTTATTAAGCGTCCACCAATAAGCATTGCCTTTTTGTTGCGCAGGCCAATAAAGGCGGGGTGAGAATTTACACAACACCCCCTTGATGTCGCAAGGGTGAGTTTTCGAAATGCCTCGGATTACCCTTATTTTTAAATAAAGGTTTTTTTTAGTAGATCAGCCAATAAGTTAGGCTGTTTTTCTTACAAATACCTTACAGATATCTGACATGTTGTTGATCTGAATAAAACTGTACGAGAAAGAAAAATCTTATCATTTCATATAGACGTAACATAAAACACGCTCTAAAATGCAACACAAGAAAGATCTTCTTCCCTTTATCTCCTCTATATACCATAATTTTTATAAAAATCGAAGAAAATACTACTAATAGACAATGTGAAGTCAACAAATCCCTTAATGACGAAGAAGAATGTACCGATGAACCAATTTATGTCCAAAATTTCAAATATTTTCAGAGATAAAATGGTTCAAGTCCAAAAAAGTATAAACAAACATACTTAAAAATGACCACAGTTGTACGAGGCATGTTTTTTAAGTAAGTACCGTTTTGGAATTTAAAAAAACGTGCAAAGATATCGCAATAATTTTATTTTTACATGAAAGCCTGTACCTTAATCTACTTTTCTACATAATTTCCGTGAATATTGAGGCACTTGTCATAACGTGGCACCAGTTTTTCAATACCCTCCTCATAAAATTCTGCCGCCTGACTGGTTAACCACTGTATCACAACTGTTTTGACTTCGTTATCGTCTTGAAGACGCTGACCGCCCAGGTGTTTCTTCAAGTGCAGGAATAAATGGTAGTCCCTGGGCGCCAGATCAGGGCTGTATGGAGGATGATCTAGAGTTTCCCATTTAAAAGATTTGATGAGATCTTTGATGCGATTAGCCACATGTGGACGGGCATTGTCATGCAGCAAAACAATACCCTTACTCAACTTGCCACGTCTTTTGTTTTGGATTGCACGGCGCAGATTGTTCAATGTCTCACAATAAGACATTGATTGTCTCATTACGAGGCAGAAACTCCACTAGCAATACTCCCTTTCTGTCCCAAAAAACTGTGCACATGATTTTCCGGGCAGAAATTGTTTGCTTAAACTTCACTGTTTTGGGTGATGATGAATGTCGCCATTCCATGGACTGTTGTTTCGATTCTGGTGTGACGTAGGCCACCCATGTTTCGTCACCAGTAACAATTTTGTCTAAAAAATCTTCACCTGAAAGTCAATGCACTGCCTAAACGTTGGGTTTTGTGCAAATCCGTCAACATTTTCGGAACCCAACGTGAACACAATTTCCGGTAATTCAAGTTCTCGGTCACAATGCGATACAAAACACTACGAGAACATTGAGGAAAGTAGTCGCACAATGATGAAATTGTAAAGCGTCTGTTTTCTTTCACCTTTTCGTCCACTTTCTGCACCATATCTTCATTAACGACCGAAGAACGCCCACTCCGTTCTTCATCGTGCACATTTGTGCGGCCATCTTTAAATGCTCTCACCCATTTCCTTACCATTCCATCACTCATAATGTTTTGTCCGTAAACTTCACAGATCTCACGATGAATATCGATCGGTTTTACGCCTTTAGCACTAAGAAATCGTATGACAGCCCGTACTTCACAATCGGCGGGGCCCACGATTGTCGAAGGCATCTTAAACACTCAATAAACAACGTATACAATGAAGAATCAGACTGTACTGGCGTCTGTGCATAGACAAGAGATGTAGGTAACCAGCGCGCATGCGCGGAACGCCGACCGTAGCGCTGCGGCGGCGGAATCGCAAAACGGTACTTACTTAAAAAACATGCCTCGTATTTTGAGTTACTTTAGTTTACAGTTATACAATTTAAAATATAATAAAGCATTGTGTCAAGTTTTCTTCTCCAGGTTGTTTTATTTTAATTATAAGTACCTAACATTAAAAAACTTTAACTCTCATTTTCTCCATAATTATCTTCTAAGACTTGATTCAGTTCACTTCTGAACTTCTCATCTCTTTTGGAATGACATTATCTGGAAAATAAAATAGTAAAATAATAATAAATGGAAAAACTAAATGGAAATTGATGACAATTTTGGCGAGATTAAACTCTAGATATCATGTACTAAAAATTGACATAGAAATTGTCAACAATTAATTAGAGAAAGATTAACACAGGATAGAACGTTTCCACAGGGACAAATCTATTTCCAAAAGATATTTTTTTCTCGAATTTTAAACTACACCATTTAAAAATCATTTTTACTCAATATAAATATAAATTACAACCCTCTTATGGCCACCTAATGTTTGACCTCGCTAAAATTATCATTGATTGTCATTCTCCAACCATTTGACGTCGTTTTTTTTTTCGATCGTACTGTACTACTTCTTCTGTAAAAAGCTAATTCTATTTAGACTTAAAGGTCAGAATCTTTAAAGGTCTAAATTTCTTATCAACAACGGGACCGTTAAATACCCCCCTAATTTTAATGCATAATATCTTTCTTCAACATAAAAATTAACAATGTTACTTCATCAAAACAAGATGTATTTAAGAGAAGAGTTTGGAATATCAACGAAGAGTTGAAAACAACTGTTTTATAAAATAGTTGATGCGAAAACTACCCTTAATAGTTCTTAGCAACGTTATGTTTCTATAACATAATAATATTATGAGGATTGAATGGTTGCATGATCTTTTCATTGTCCGATGTTTACTCGAAGAATAACTATTTGATCTCTGGAGGACTATTTGCTCTGGAAAATATTAACAAAAAATAGTTACTATAAATATGGTGTCTTTTAAAATTAGCTATCGGTTAACTAGTTTTAAGATGTAGTATGCGGTGTTAAAATATTATTTGGAAGTTGTTTTTTGAAAATGGAAACGACAAGTTCGTACCAATTTTCAAACCGAAGCAGTACATTATTACCCCCTGTTCCCCCATTCTCTACGTATCATCTGTTAAGGAATTGCAACTATCTTCTAACGCAAGGTAAGTTATCAACTGCTTTTTTGTAATAAATGCTAACAGCACAGCTAATTCAGTACCAGCTGATCATATTCTTCCTTGTCTCTTAGTATCCATGTTTGAAATACAGTGAGATAGTGTTTTAAACATAGTTTTAATGAAGATAATCGAATAAGTGGGTACGTAGAGTTACATACAAACTATCTTTGGCAGGCTGGTTATTAATAGGCTGTGTTAATAGATAAACATGAAACATATTTATTTTCTTATTAATGTTTTTTATAAAAAATATTTAGAACAGTGTTATATTAGTCAAAAATTATGTAAGTATGTATTAATTATAACGCACGTAAAGAGGGAAAGTTTTGAAGAAGTTAAGTAACTATTTAATTGTTTTCAAATTATCATTTATGATTAAATTAAAAACAAATATATTTAAAATTACCGATTCTCACAACATTTGATTTTATTAAATTAGTTTGTATGCACCTATATCTTATATTAAAACATGATTTGTACTAGAAAGTTTAAAATTACCAGAGAATATTAATTAGATATATAAATTGACCGTATGATCGAAAAAAACGGCGTCCGATTGGCTTGGAAATGACGATCTATGAAATTCCCCATATAATTTTACATATAAAATGACAGCGATCTCCATTTCATAGCCATCGCTGACGCCGTTTTTTTTTCGATCATATTTTATTATAGTAATTATTTTAGAGAAGTTCACACAGATGCAAAACAAAACGAAATTTTTGGTCAAAAATTTTAAGTGTTATATTTTTGTTATTCTTAGCCCTATTTTCTTGAATTTTATTTTTTAATTTGTAAACTTAGTTTTTTATCAACTTTAGTATTTGGCATGGTTTTTTATTTAGTATTTATACAGGGTTAATTGAAGACTAACGATACAGTCCAACAGAACTAACGATATCAAAGAAAACATCTGTAATACTCAAGTATGCAAACAGCAAAAAAAATTGTAAAAATACCCTAATTTTGTATTGCCCTCCCCTGGCTGCTAGAACTGCCTGTATAGTACGTCCGTCCATACAATCATTGAGCCTGCATATATCATAGAAGAAATTTCATCATTTTAGAAAACAATGACATTAATGTATGTCTTTTGGAAAAATAACATTTTGGAATAATAATAAAATAAAAAACGAAAAAACAAATAAAAAATAAAGAAATAATATAAATACAAAATTAATGGGCAATCAATAACAATTTTTAAAATTATTTAAACTTACACCATACGAATATCCAACATAAAATATAATAAAATTGAATATAAACGAGACTGCCTAGTTTATATTGGTGTGCGATCATGGAGTTTGTGCGATAGTGTTTGAATTAAACTGAAAAAAAAAGAAATCACACCAAACTACTATACAATAATAAAAATTGATATTGTAAGAGGATATTTTTGGATTTCGGCTCGAGACAGGTGACAGTACACGCAAGTTATACTTTTTTCTCTATTACATTAAATTTTATTGTTCGGTAACTTCCCTATTTAGTTAGTGTAACAGAAATATTATTATGCATTTATAAACAAGTAAAATTATATTGATTTGACACCCTTAAAGAAAAAGTAAAAGTATTTTTATTTTAAGAAAAACTATTTATATTTTTTGACACCTCAATAAAAAGCCAAGAAAAAAATCCTCTTTACTTAGTGATGAACAAGACTGGTCTTCGTCTTGCACAAAAAGTATGACGAAGCCCAAAGCCTAGACCGACCATTGCAAGACTCTTGCTGTCTTGCATTTTTTTCAGGTTTATGTGATATAAGAAATTAGTTATTTGCATTAAATTACTAAAAATACTATTTATTTAAAGATTTTCTATGTAAAAAGTGTCATCTAGTAAAAATCCATTAAAGAATTGACAGAATCTTGCAGCAAGACCACGGCCAAGACCAAGACTACTTATTAACTGCAAGATGAGGATCAAAACCAAGAGAGTGTCTTGATCTTGCATTTGCTCATTACTAAAATAGTGTTGTACTATTCTTTGATGGTATCTGTCTGTATTTATACAATAATTCGAATACAACCATAAAATTGTTCTTGTACGGTACTTTCCAAATTAGATGCCAATAAAAATATATTTTCTTCTTCGTTTCAGAATCCGCACTAAAGTCATTTAGAGACTTATCAACAACAGACAATTCTAGATTATCGGTAACCTCAGATGATGTTCACTTACTTTCCACACTAGAGGGAGATAAGCCATGCATTAACTTGGTACCATCATCGCTATTCACACCTTCAAATATAATACCTTATTCACCACATGCCATACATTTATTGCAAAGTGAAAAGTCTGGTAAGTTCTAGCATATAGACACTTTGTAAAAAACTGTTTTCCTCGTTCCATGTTTACCACTTTTACATGAAACATAATATGTTTTGAAGATATTATTGAAGATATTATCTTCAACAAACTGATATGAAACAAAGATTCAACAAAGAACATGAAACGTAATATGTTTTGAAGATATTGTTGAAGATATTTACTGATAAGTGATCTCATTGATTATAGGTGGTCCTCTTTCAGCATCCAACATATTGCCTAATCCATTGAGTAGCCCTACTACAAAAAAGCAACGAAGTGAAAAAAAGCCAATACCCAACGAACAAAAAGATGACAAGTATTTTGAAAGACGGAGAAGGAATAATCAAGCCGCTAAAAAATCTCGAGACGCTAGGAAAATGAGAGAAGATCAGGTAAAATTTTTATAACAATTGATTTGGTTTGATTTGGTTTGCATCCGTAGTCCGACGATACACATTTAATTAATATTGTTGTCATTTAATTACTGACGTCACTGGTTATCATTCATTTTATTCTGTTAGCTCATTGTGATTCAGTTAATGATTTAAAAATTAAAATAATTAATTATAATTACCTACCTATAAGAATAATGTAATAATTATTGTTTAAGGTTGCTCTAAGAGCTACAATACTAGAACACGAAAATGCAATATTAAGGGCTCAAGTTCTCACACTTCGAGAAGAAACTTCATCTTTAAGACAGCTCCTACTGCAAAGAAAAATCTTCGAACTTCCACCTAGAAGTCAGATATGTGCAAACCTTACGCAATAAAAAAAAATCAAAATGGCGTCAAGTTTGTTTGAGAATTACGATCGATGATGTGTGTTCACCATATAATTTAACATATAAAATGACAGCAATCTTCGCACATTTTCAAACCAACTCCGACGCCTTTTTTTCGATCTTATATGGACGATAAAGAAATGTTGGTATGTAAAATTTAAAACTAACATTGCTTACATATAAAAGCTGATTAAGATTATAATGTACTTACACATTTTCCCTATAAAAAGAAATTTAGAATTGTTATACTTGTATATTTACCATTTAACTAAAAATAGATATAATTAAAAAAATACTTCATAGTTTTTTCTTATTATACCTACCGGTTAAATTAAGTAAAACAGTTCAAACTCCATTTTTATAAAAATTACCATACTATCTACCGTATAATAGAATAAAAACGACGTCCAGTTGGCTTGGAAATGACGATCGATGATATTTTCCATACACAATAATAGCGATCTTCATTTCTCGGCCATCTCTGACGCATTTTTTTTTTTGGCCGTATGTATAGGCAACTCATTAAACAATATTAAAACCGAATAGGGACTAGGTGGTGCCATCTATTGAGTAATGGTAGATACAGCATCTGTCAAATCTATACTTAGCTGTAATTTTCTATAAAATCTAGTTATTGTTACCCCATCTATGAAGTAGTAGACAAATTAATGTAACAAAGAAAATCAAAACAAAAATGCCCAATAATTATTTCCTTCATAAATTATATTTAAAAAAACACTTTATTAAAAAATAATTTCGAAAATATCAACTTTAGGTGATTTGGTAATTACCGGTGATTTAATTTTCATGAAATTTATTTTTATTCTTTTTATAAATAGTAACATAAGGTAAATGAAAAATCAATTTGTGCTCAATTTACATGACCAATGGATTATATTCTCTTTATACAGTTCATTTTATTATATTTTAAAAATACTTCTCAGAGAGAGAAATTAAAAGAAATTTCCATATAGAAGGCACAGTAAAGAAAAAACTCATACAAAACAAATTATCTGTATATTTAGTTATTTATAAAATTACAAATAATTGTTAAATCTATAAACCTATAGGTACTAACATTATTAGGGTAGAAATAAAATGTGTGTGAAAAAATACAACTGAACAACCCGTGTCTATTGCATATATACAGAAATTTTAACAATATGTGGAAACCTGAATAAAATGTGAGGTATAGAAATGGTATTGTTTAAAAACAATACTTAGTAAAAGGAAGTTACACTGCAAATTTAAACATAATTTCAAAATCAATTCCTCTAGATGCTACAGTTTCGAACAACTGTATCGATTGCTGCAGCCACAAATAAGTCGAACAAAACTTTTATGTGTATAAAATTCATATAACATTATTCCCTAGCTCAAGTATCATCAAATTAGTTTTCAAGAAATGAAAATAACAATAGTCTGCAACAAAATTAACAACTATATAAAAGGTACCTACTTTCCAATAGATTCACAATGCCCAACTAATCATGTAGGTTATCTCAATATTTACCAGATCATTTCTGCAGTATAAATCCAAAGTTGAGGTAAGTAGTGGTTGTTCATTATATGGAAAATTACTCCCATGATGATCCTATGCAACAAAATCCAATGGCCTGTTAAAACCACCTTTTCTATTCATGTATTGTCTATATTTTCTTTTTAATATGACATGAACACCTCCAACATCATTCCCTTCAACTTTTTTCCCTTTTGTTGTGTCAAAACTGCAAAATCCCATAAGCTTCATCATTTCTTGTTCATCCTGGCTTTTACCTTCTAAATCAGCAGCCGTTACCGCGGGCCTTTCTGGAAGTAATTTACCCCTTTTGTCCAAAGACCGAGATCGACTTCTTGATCTGGAACGGGAAAATCTCCGTCTTTCGTGCGAGTGACGTCTTCTCTCCCTTTCCCTCGACCTATCTCTAGACCTTTTCCTTCTGTGTCGTTCCTTGTCTCTATCTCTCTCCCTGTCCCTGTCCCTTTCTTTATCCCTTTCTCTATCCCGTCTTCTGGCAATTCCATAAGGAGATTTTGACCTACTTCGTCGACCCATTAAAGAGTTCTAAAAAAAATACGAATTTTTATATCATAGATTTTTTTCCGAAACATTTTTTTTCTAAAAAAATGCACTTTTTACCTGATTTTTTTGATTTTTAAAACAACCCCCACATAACGATCTAGAAAAACGTCAGAAAATGTCGATTTTAGTTGATATTTTTTACGCTTAGCGCTAGTGTTTCTAACCTGTAAAAATGCAGCAAAACGTTCCCTTCGTACATGAGTCATAAGGTCGAGATTTCAATTCGGCCATTTTGTTCATTAATGGATTTCATTTCGGTCTTGCGCTGTTGCCTGAGGTTTGAGGCGTGTTGAATTTCGATGTCGAACTGGAAAGATATTCGGAGAGTGTGGATGAAAGCGTCGAGGGTACGTGTTTTGTGACATTAAACTTTACTTTAACCGATTTTAAATAACATAAACTTATTTTAAAACACATTCCGTTGCAACCTTTGAGATATTTATTTATGAACGACGTATAAAACAGGCATTTGAAGCGCTTGATGGGGCGTAGTTTAATCTTTCAGTGACATTTACCAGGTTTATCAGTGTAATTTTTTTGGACAGTGTCGCGTCGCTCTTTATCAACACTCCAAGTGGTTTCTTACCGGCAAACTTTCAGGATTAGGCACAAATAAACGGTGAGTAAACGAGTTGTTCATGTTTAGTACGTTAATTGAGGCCGCCAAATAATAAAAATTTTAACGTTTTTTAATCAAAGCGTCAGTGTCAATTTTGACGTTAGGGTGTGTCGGATCGTCATTTTTATTCTTCTGAACGTTTTAAGATAGGATCTGAACGAAACATTTAGTTTAAAATTAATTCATTTGAATGATAATTAATTCATGAGTCGAATTAAAAGATTGTCAGTTCGTTCAGAAATATTTTTTTCAGGCAATTGATTAATCTTTGGCCCCTTGTTGCACTTCGAAAACTCGAGATAATGACTACTCATAATTTATCAAATACTATTACATTACCAAGTTTTATTTGTTCTTCTCCGATATGATTTTTCAAAAGGACTAATTATTAGAACAAGCAATGAAACAATGAGTGACCAATGTCATGCCTCAACATTCCATTTAACCGGCCAACGACCGTACGATAGCTGTAAATTTATTTCTTTTTCTAACATTTAGCAAAAACTGCCATTAGCGATTTATTTTAATTGTTTGGAAGTTTTTTCCTTCAATGAATTTAATCTTTTTGGCATGGAAACGCCGTTACTGAAATGCAATTAATAGTAAATTTATATTTCACAGATTTATCATTTGTTCTTTAACGATTGAGTTGTAATGCGATTAAAGACATTTAAATGGACGACCAAGTAGATTAATATACATCTCTTGGACTTTTTAACTATGATTGCTAATAAAAGTGTTGTTCTGTTATTTGAACCAAATAAAAAAACCTTGCTGTTATACGCCCATAACCGTTTTCTGTTGCTTTGTTATCAAACTGGTATTACTGAAGATGATCTCATCTTTTGCTTCCAGCAGAAAGTTGTTTATTACACAACATTATGGCATAGCACACCGACCATACAGAGGTGCAGTGTTTATTGCCTTTGAAGGCTTACCATATATTTTTTTTAAATTGTTCGGCTTAATTAAGAAGGTACGTGGACCGTTGAACTGATATTTTTAACGCTATGATCGTTTTATTTAAAAGTTAATAACAGGATGCCAGAAGAAATTTAAATACATGTCATACGTTAATTGTTTATTGTTGACCAGTTCAGTGTCATAACTTAAAAAAATATTCTCTTCTATAATAGCCAAAGTTTACAGAATTAAAAAAATCTGTGAACTTAGATGGAATTACCAGAGAAATACCGATTTTAGTTATTCATGATACACAGTCACATCTAATCTGTAATAATAAAAGTGTAAAAAAGGTGTTTAAAACAAAAAGTTTATATGATAGGGCAAAAAAAATATATACCGACGACATTTCACTAAACAGAGATATAAACCACATAAAAAATATATTAATAAAAAATGACTATCCACAATATTTTATTCACAAAACATTAAACGAAATACAAACTCCAAATCATAGACACAATGATAACAATACACAATACATACAACTTACAATTCCATATATACGAGGCGTTTCGGAAACAATAAGAAGGATCGTTTCCAGGAACGTTCCCCAAATCGGGATAGTGATGGAAATGGAAACAATTTTAATGTTATGAAAAATTGGAAACTTTTCGGGAAGGTTCCCGGAAATATTCCCCAAAGCAGAAAAGTGATAAAGTTAAGAAAATATAACTTTCAAAATATATTTAATAACAACAAAATAATATATAAATAACAACAGAAGCAGCACAAGTCGATAAAAGAAACAAATTTAGGTTATGTTTATAACCTAGTTTCTCTTCTTCTTTTTATTTGGGGCGTGGCCTGTTCACAACTTTTCCAATGTTTTGATTACTTTCCCTAAATTTAAGAAAAGTTCCCGAAAAGTGGGGAATGTTCCGAGGAATATTACAACTCGCATCAAAATACAACTTTCCCGACTTTAGAGGAACGTTCCCGGAACATGGGCACGTTCCCTGAGGCACGTTCCGACCTGCACACAGGGTTCGGAAGTAGTTAATTAAGACGTAATTTACTTGATTAACTACGTGTAGTTTTTCTTCAAAAACTACGGCGTTCATTAACTACATGAAAACTACGTTAATAAACTATGTATTGATATTATGAATCATTTTCATTTGTATGAGGTGTAATAGAGATAATATGATGTAAATATTATATTTAAAGCCATATTTCTTCTGTTTTCTTAAATACATTATGTGTTTTTAAAGCTTCAACTTATTATAACCTCACCTCAAACCTTTGATATTTGAAAGTTACGTACATAGGTTACATAAACTACACCCTCTACATAAACTACATTAACTACATGTAATGTAGTTTATGTAGTTTTTAAAAGTAATATGTAGTTTTCCTAACCCTGCCTGCACATCACTAAACATAACATACGTAAAAATTAAAAATAATCATACAGAAAGTTTGGGGTTTTTTGGTTTTACCTTGTTAAGTAATGTTATCAGGTAGTAATTGTTAATTTCGAAGTTTAACTTGATATAATGTCATTTTAACAGAACGTCAACGGTTTTTGTAGACGTTTTAAAAAACTAAAGGTTCTCGAATAGTTGAATTTAAATATTTTAAATAATTTTTTTCTTTATTCTTTGTATTTTTTTTTGCTTCCGGCGACGACGGAAAGAGATAAACTTTCCGAAACATTAAGCATTTTTTGTTCGTTAGGCATATTTGTATATCTGTAAATCTAACTTCTGACAAATTTTCTTGCTCCCATTATAGGATTTTTTGGACAGTCTACTGTATCGTACTATACTATTAATACCTGTATGTTCTACATATTTTATAGTTTTTTTATCTGCCAGGGTTTTTGATAATAAATAAAAACCAAGAAATACCTACCTAAGTGCACGGCCACACAGAAAGCGTTTTTTGCGTTTTTAGCGTGAAGCATCTTTAGCGACTAAAACAAAATAACTGGATTATATAGGAGTGGCCACACCAAAAGCGTGTAGCGTTCGGCGTGTGTCGCAAAAAACGCAAATGAAAACAAATCAGTTTGTTTTCTGTAGCGTCTTTAGCGTTTTCTAAGATGAGACCCCGTCATAGGCGGACGTTATGTTTAATAATACAATAAAAATAAATTAAATAGTATACATTTTTTTTTCATTTTAGGGTATTATATAAAAATATTTTTATAAAGAACATCTACTGTTTTGGAAATTTGAAGGAAATATTTGAAAAAGTGTAGGTTGAAATGTTGAAAAAGTAATAAATTATAGGAATATTTTCTTACGCGTAAAAAATAGTTTTTTATGCGCAAAAAGTGTTTTTTTTCTGCGTAAAAAAGGTTTTTTTAAGAGAAACAAATAGTTTTTGACGCGTAAAAAATAGTTTTTTACGTGTAACAAATAGTTTTTTACACGTAAAAAATATATTTTTTTGAGTAACAAAAGGTTTTGTATCAGAAACAATAAGTTTTTGACGCGTATAAAAATAATTTTTTTCGTGTAACAAATAGTTTTTTACACGTAAATTTTTTTTTGTGTAAAAAAGTTTTTATACCAGAAACAATAAGTTTTTGACGCGTTAAAATTAGTTTTTTACGTGTAACAAATAGTTTTTTACACGTATTTTTTTTGCGTAAGAAAGGTTTTCTACCAGAAACAATAAGTTTTTGACGCGTAAAAAGAAAGTTTTTTACGTGTAACAAATAGATTTTTACACGTAACAAATAGTTTTTTACGCGTAAAAAATAGTTTTCTACCAGTAACAAATAGTTTTATACGCGTAAAATATAGTTTTCTACCAGCAACAAATAGTTTTATACGCGTAAAAAACAGTTTTATTCGCGTAAAATAATAAAAATGTATTTTTACGTGTAACAAATGTTTTTTTACGCGTAATAATTTGATTCACTTTTACAAAATTTGTATTAAAATATCAATATTTTTGATAAACACGTGGACTGCTCACAAATAGACGTCGCGTCACTACGAATTTCTAAGCCGTTAACACGTTTCGTTACAACGAGCTCGTGTGTCACGGCCTTGAATTTTTACTCCCAGCGCGCGTAAATAAGTTTCACTCCAAAATGATTCATAAATCAGGTCCTAAAATTGCATTAGCAACTAGACATATTTACTATTTTATTATATAATTATAATTATTTATTATAAGTACTAAACACACACACAACACATAAAACACACACACAACACATAAAACACTACATAAAAAAAACTATACACATATAAACTAAAATTCGTAAAATAAATGGTAAATAATAATTATTATTTTTACACACACCACTGGGACTAGCAGTAGATTGTGTTTTTCTCCGAATATATGCCCCGGCCCGTCCACAATTCAATCCCAGCATCTTTTATCTTCGTCTCTTCAACGCTAACGGCGCCGATCTCGCCTATCTCTTTCTCACAGGATTGATTGTTGGACGGGCCGGGAATCCACGAGCTTGCGACGATACTAATTGACATATTGATAAAAACTGCAGACCTGGCGCGTCTTTTGCGTGTTCTTAATGGACACAAATCGAAAAAAGCCCTTAAAACGGTAAAATCACAAAAACCGCTTGAGACCATAGACTTAAAATAAAATATAGACTACACTATTTACATCTCAAAGCGGTCAAACAATCTTTTTTGTATACATGTTTACTTCTGGGTACAGTCGACCGAGCCTTCCTCATCCAGCCTATGTTGTCACGTCTTTAATATTATCAATATTTTTTTTCTTGTTACACACATATATTGAGATATTAATACTACAGTTTAATAAAGTAGGTTTTAATATTCCATAGATGTATTAAATAGTCCTTATACTACTAAATTATAAGTCGGATACTGTTTAAAAAGGATAAGTTCTTTACAATATGACAACACCGATTAGAAGCGAGGGAGCCTATTCATTCATTTATTACCTTGTAGTACGCGTCGCACGTGTGCGGTAAAGCTTTGTTGCCGCTATGTCCCCGGCTGTATTAACGCATTTTCTTAGCTTGTAGTCCTTAAGTGTTTATTTTATTGACATTTTCTGTTCAAGAACTATAAAATATGGTTCGC